ATATACAACTAAAAATATATATGAAAAATGCAATATTTAAAATTTTAAAAATATTATCTTACAGTACATATTTAATAAATAACATCTAATTATTATTAGACCAATTAATAGAATATATTCTTATCGATAAATTTTAAGAAATCAATAAATGAATAATAGTAGTCTTAAGTATTTTAAATTTATTTTATTTCATTGATTTCTTCAAATATATGTTCATTTAGTATTATATAATATATTAATTTTTATTTTTTCTAATAATTTAATTTTAGTTACTTTTTAATTTTTATGATCCAATAATTATTAGATTGTTAGTTTATTATGTTTTAATTTTAAAACATAAAATATTTGATTGTAAGGGGTAAGTGTTACAAATAATACTGTAAGGGGTAAGTATACATATGCTATACTTCAGCGGTGCAAAGTGTATTTAGCCCTTTTAAATCCATCAATTCTGTCATGAGAATGTTCGAAATTGTTAAAAAAAAAATCAAATTCACAATTCTTTTGGTTTTTCTAGAACATAATTAGAATTAGTTTTTCTCTTGCAAAAAAATTGAATTTTTTTCAGAACAAGTAGAATTAGAATTTGATCTTACAAAGAAAAGCCACACTAAAAGAATAAAAAAAATTAAAGGGTCTAAAATGCTAAAAATATATACTTCGGTTGTAAACTGCAATTAACACAACGCATTTCTCATGCTATCATGCGCCGTACAATCTCAGCCGTCCATCTCACTGAAGCAATACACGATTGCGACACCTCCAATAATGTAGATCGATACATTTTTTAATGCATAAAAATTGACACGTGGCACCCGGAAGAAAGAAATTATTGGGTGCAGCGCTGGTGGCATCTTGAGGCCTCACGTGTAACGGAGGATCAAAGCCAAAGCAATATTAGATTATTAATTAATATTAATTAAAAAAATGCAAAGGAGAATATTACTTGCTGCCCGCGGGCAACGGGCAAGTGCTTCGGGCAAGGGAGACAATGGCCTTGGAATCTGAGCCCGCATGTACTCGATGGTCCCCTTGGTGGGCTCCACTTTTTTGGAATCATATTTGCTGGTCTTATTAAATAGGTGGGACCAAATATTAGTTGTTTGTGGGTCCCAATCCGACGCAGCTCCAATGTGGGGAAAAGGAAAACGACAAAAAGTGGGGGGACTCCTAATCAAATTATTATTATCATATTTTTTAAAAATAAATTACAAATCATAGAACCAACCCTTTATGTTTGAGATATTACATTCATCCCCCTGCAGTTTGTATATTTCTTACATTCATCCCATATAAAAGGGTGTTAATGTAAGAAAGCTACAAACTGCAAAGTAGGTGACGCAATTTTGAAAAAGAATATTGGTTTTTTTGTAAATAAACCTTATTTCATGGAACGGTTGTATTTTATCCTGTTTTTTTTTTATTTTTTATTATTTAAGTATAGGCTGTTGACTCTGCAACATACCCCGTAGAAGTAAGTATACACTAATTAATCCTTGTCGGGTTAAGGGATGGGGTCCGTGGGGGCGAGGGATTTCGCCTTTTGGTGCAAGTATACACTAATTAATTAAAACAAATCAATTGTTTTTAAAGGTATATGAGTATATCTTAAAGGGGGAAAACAAGCCAAATTTACGGAATTAATTTCGAAATTAATATTGAAGATTTAAATTATCTTAGATATACTTTCAATTCCAATCAAAAATAAAAATTGAATATCAGAATGCTAATAGTTGGATCGAAAGTTTTTATGGAACTTTTGAAAGAGAAACGACGAAATTTGAAAATTA